GGGATGTTGATTGCTAGTATGAATGGATTAGTGAATATATATGGATGTACAAGAACATTTGAGTTTGCAACCACGAGTAATACACTTCATTGAACTTAAGGAATAAAGAAACTGGAATGTCTCTATATGCCCTCATGGAGCAATAGTCTCTCTGGAAACCAGATCTAGCGACTGCATTAATTTTTGGGACCTGCATAATGTTGACCTGCATAATGTTTATCCTTGATAATTTAACAAGGCTGTTTCGTTGCTAAAGTTTTTAGTAAAAAACATGTACTTATCTGATAAATATTCTTAATTGCACGCTGAAAGAGGATTAGAGGGATGTCATTTCATAGCGCTACAAGTTGTTTGTTTGCTTTATTGTCAAATTCGAATATCAGCTTTGGCTCATAACCTTTGGCTTATTTATTGTTTGTTTTGGTAGAATGAGCCAAAACAAACAATACATGGTATATAAAATTAGCTACTTCCGTCTATGGTATAATAAAGCCAATACACGGTATATAAAATAGCCAGCCTCAGCACTGTCTATTCTACACCCAGTATCCAAACCGTGGCATCTGTTTGATTGCTTTTATGTTCTTGGATTGACGTGATGTATTTTGTCGCTATCTTTCACTCGCTTTTTTTCGTATGCGTCCTTTTCGGTGGAAATGTACCAGACATTTTTATTGATTGCAGTTCTAATCTTTGTTTTTTTCATATTTTATTATCAAAACAAAGTTGATTAAGATACAATAATGTAAATAATTAGTCTTTATTCGATCCGCATTTTTTTGTGAAAAATGAGTTTTGTAATAGTGATTTTTTGGAGTGTGGTTATAAAGTATGGAAATTTTTTTGGTTTACGTGCAAATTATTTTATTGGAAAAAAGTGTGGTTGAAAATGAAGTTGGGGAAAAATGAGTTTTTAGAGAACGGGGCTCAATCATGGGCTTAATTGTAGTATGCTGGAGTAGTTTTGCTTTATTTGTGCAAAGAATAAGCTGAGTCACATAGATTGTAGGGTCGAGAAGATTTGAAGGATTAAAGCATTTACATTTAGAGTGTGATTCTGTTTCTTATGTGAACTTCTATGCTGATGCAGGGCCCACTTTCATCAACATTTCCTATTGAGAACAGGAATGTCCCAGTATCAATGCGGGCTTTGAAAACCCATCTGGATCGAACAAAAGGTCTCCCCTTCGTGAAGCGAATTTCGGATTTCCATCTGCTGTTGTTGATTGCCCGATTTTTAGATGTCAATGCTGATGTTCCTGCATTGGCAGCATGTGTTCAGGCGCAGGCCACTATACCAGAAGGATTCCAGCTCCTGATTGAATCTATAGCCAGTTCCTGATGCGTCTGTCATGGCAGGATGTTGTGTATTCTCTCACTTCAGTCGAAAGGGAACTCAGTTATGAATCTTGAACATGGGCAATATGCTCTGCCGCTCTGGTAGATTCACTTGTGTAACTAAAATCCAAACACTGTAGTGCTTCAATTTATTTGGAATTGTGGCGTTGCTATATTCTGTATTTATTACTATTCAATTACATGCTTTGGTGCTTAACTAGCTGGCCTTGGATTCTACTCGTCTTAAGTTCCGAGAACATTATTCTTTGAGCCAAGTTCATCACACTACAATTGTGCTTGTTTGGCTAAGCTTTCAAGTGTTTATAGGCCATGGGAAAATTTCTTACGCACCAACTTTTTCAAGTAAAATTTGTAGGCTTATAGAACACGAGGAAAGTGTAGAGTTTTGTCACATTATAAACAATTTTGAGCTTTGCCAAACATGCACAATTTATTATAGGAGAATCCACACCTCTAAATTTTTGCTAGGGCGAAAGTATGTGCCTGATTTTTGGAATTAGTCGAGGTGCGCGCAAGTTGATTCAGACATCCACGGTTATTAAAAGAAAAAAAAGTATGTGCTTGATTTCGGCTGATTCATGGGTGTTCCGAGATAGTGAATGGACAATGATGACTTCTGCAATTGACCTACTTGAAACGAAATAAAAATCAAAAGGACTCGTTTCTCTTCTCCATTTTATCATCTCCTGCCAATCTATTATGGATAAATACTTAAGTTATGCATCTTCTATTACTAGTGAACTCGAGAGTTTTTTTTTCTTATATTTCACAAACTATTTGGCAATGTAAACTGAAAACACAGCAATGAGAATCATCTATTTTTCATAGTTGTGACTTAATTTAAGGCCGTATTTAATTTCTAACAAGTGAAAAAAATAAAGGGAAAAATTCATAAGTAAGAGGATAATTATCACATATTTCAAAACTAAGAAAACAAGTTTGGAATTGCAAAAATCAGATTTTTATTAAAATTTATTATGATTTTATTTATTTATTAAATATAATGATGTCATAATTATACAATTAATAGTCACAGGTACATAATTAATTGGTCACATATTATTTTTGAAATCACAAATCAAAAATTTTATAAGTCACGAATTATTTCGAGGTCACGATTTAAAACTTTTATAGGTCATAATTTGTATACCGATCACAGATCAAAATTTTTGGGAGGTCACGGATTATTTTTTGGTCACAAATCAATAATTTTAAAGGTCACAAATTATTTTATTGGTCACAGATCAAAAAATTACAAGTCATGGATTAATTTTTAGTCACAAATTGTCGAATTTTAAAATCACATATTAACTTTTAGTCACAAATTGTAGAATTTTAAGGTCACGGATAGTCTATTATGCGGTCACAGTTGGTCACGAATCACACCACAAGTTCAAACAACAGTCGCCCGCACCGCAACCACCGCACCATAGCCTGCACCGCACCATCTCCACCGCCACCAAAACCACCATTTCGACCCAACACCTATTCACTGTTAATAAAAAACCAATTTAATCTGCCAACCACAACCAATAACGCTGCCACCACCCATTCCGCCACTAAAGCACCAACCACAACCAGTATCGCTGTCACCAACATTGACATCACAACCACCATCGCGACGAGCATCGCATCGCCAACAGAGAAACTCAAACCACAAACCCACTTCATATCGGCCTCAACCATCAGATCTGCCACCGTCAACCACCACCAAAACAGAGAGAAATCTCGCCGGTGTTGCATCACTCTTTTTTGACTAGCAATCTGATGGATCTGAAGGGAGGCGAAAGAAGTTACGAGGGGGCTAAGGCAGGGTTGATGGAGCCAAAATGGTGGTCGGCGACCCTTCAACGCGTGCGGCGGTCCTACCTGAGAAATGCTGCGAGTTCGCAGCAGCTGGGAAATTACGGAAGTATCGTCGGGAAATTCTGTTAACATTACGGGAGCAGCAGTCTCGAGCGGCAAAAAGAGAGAGGGGGAAATTGTGTCAACATTATGAGACTCCTCCTCCGACGGGCGGCGAAGAGAGAGACAGGGAAATTGAGAGGAATAGTAGGTTGAGGAGAGAAGCGGAAGGGACGAGAGAGGGGGGAGAAAGAATTAGGGTTTGAGATTTAAATGGTGTGGTAGATGAATTAGTTTTTTAATTGATATATTTAGTAATAAGTTTAATTATAATATTTCTGATTTTTGAAAGAAAAAGACTCTCACTTGATTTTAGAATTGAGATCTCCAAATGAAGGATGTGATGTAATTTTCACAAAAATAAAATACATCGGGTTGGCTCGATCCGATCCACAATGTTTGAGTTCATGTGTGAGTTTGGTCCTTAAATTTCTAACCTAAATCATATTTTTAGATGTACTTGTTTACACTCGCAATTGACTTGAACCGAATCTATGCACTAGCTTGTCAACTCCAAACTAGCTAGCTATTTATCTTAAAAACCCTTCAATCCTAATAATTACATGCCCCAAGGATTAAATTGTAATTTCCTTTTCAATATAGAATAACAATATAATTATCCCTGTTTGACCCTCTCCCTTTAAAAATTTATTGTTTTAAAACTTATTTTCAAGTACACATTCTTTCAATTAAATAATTTTGTACCGAAATTTTATCTCTATTTTAACCAGACATTCTCCAAAACTTCTCTATTAAAAAACTCATTTTGAAGGAAAAGGAATCTCAAACGCACTTTTTATAAGTTTTAACACATTAATTGCATGAAAGGTCCCTAATCTTACTCATTATCATACTAATATTTCAAACTTTTTTTCGCATTCTTATTTTCAATTTTCCATTTATTAGTAGTTCTTGATTTTTTATGTCGGTATCCATCTAAAAATTTGTTAAGAGACATTAAAAATGCTTATTTGTCCCATATTTATTAATAAACAACAAATACAAATTACGGTTAAATATTTGTTCCTCATTTAAAGTATGCCAACAAAATTTTTAGATAAAAATCATAATTAGGGACAAAATATGCCAATTAGTAGAATGTTAATGATAAGAATGCAATGAAAAAAGTTCGTTTAATTATTTATTCATTTTTAATGTTGTTGTTAATTATAATATTCAATTTCAATTGAGAAAATATAAAAATTAAATTAAATTAGAAGATCGGCAGAAAATTTTGTGATCCCCATTTTGCCCTCGTGTGAATTAAACCCGCCCGGCACTACTATAAAATCTAAAAGGGCTCCAAATTAAAAAATAAAAATCAGTAATTGCACTTCGGCTCTCTCAAATTAGTTCGATTTCATCCTCTCCAGTTTATGTTTCTCTGTTGATTCTCCGCAACATTGTTCAATTCCAGTAAAAATCAGGTTTGAATCTTTAAATTAAATTTTATTTGTGTTCATCGTTTCCTTCACGCAGGTTTAGGGTTTGAAATGGATTTACATTTTTTTTTTTGCAAGGATTTTCCCCTGTTTTTATTTTTTACCAGTGTTCATATAAATAATCAAAACTCAATCTTGTACATGCACACACACACACACACAAACAGAGTCTGTGGTCTGAGCACGTTTAATTATCTTTGTAAAGAATATACGTCTGTATGTGTGGCATACGAGTATGTGTATTCGTTTTTGTGTTTGAATTTTTATTGAAATATTGACGACAGATTTTGAAGCATGAGGTCGTCGAAGGAGGAAGCATCGACCAGCACTGAGCAATTAAATCATCTAGCAAGAAGAGCCGACGAAGTAAGATAATATATCTGAAACTGATAGTCCGTGGGCTTTCAAGGATTTTTTGTACTGTTGTTTGTTTTTATGAGTTTCTTTCAAGGAAAATTTCAAGTGCACTTCGTTTTGTGGAGCACCAGTATTTGCATGTTGTCCAATGTCTTTTTCTTTTTCCTTCTTTTTTCACGCTCTTATCTATTTTTAAACTTTACTTTCTTGTTTAGTAATTTTTCATAATAAACCGTCACCATTTCATAATTTAATGTTTAAAATGGGCATGTGAGTCTTTTACTAGAACTTAGTGAGCTATGACTAGTCCTCCTTTAAGAAATTATCAGGTGTTAACTATGAAAATGGATTGTGATAAAGCTCCATTTCTTTTGTGCACAAACTCTAGCTCTTGCTAAAGCATAAGTGGGTTTTCAAAATCAGTCGAAGGACTCAGGATTTTTATTTTTGTTCTTCAGCCTTGTCTCACTCTTCTAGACACAAGATACCTTTACTTGATTTTTCTGTCATTTTCAGTGTTCTAGACTTTGCTTTTAAAACTTTTAATGGTTGCTTATGATCATCATGTTGTTAACCTTCTTTTTCCTTTCTTTTTTAGGCTCTTGACTTGATTGCTGCTGTAAAAGGACTACATGGGCTTACCTCTCAGCAGCTCAGCAAGCTAATTAGGGATTCTGGAAACAGTATCCTTCAGCACATTACTGAAGACGGATCACTTGTACAGGTTATCAAGTAGAAATAAAAATATCTACATTTGCGCAATAGTCACGATTTTTGGAATTAAAATCTACAGAAGGTATTGACACCATCTGAATGCTGCAGATTGATGTGGAAAAATTTGCAAGAAATCTTCCTGCGCACCTTATTTCTGTGGTTATGGCATGGGAAAGGGAAAAGTCCACATTCAAATACTTGTTATGTGGGATCCTCCTGTTGCATTCTATGTGCGATCTTGCGTCTCGGGTGCCTAAAATTGAGCAGGTTATCAGAAGTTTGTTTTGTCCTTTATAGTTTCAAGCAGTTGACAATAAAGGTTATTCTAATCAACTTGTATCAAGGGGATTTATAATTTTATAAATTTAGCACCATGATAAAAAGTGAAAAGACTATGCTTTAAAAGAATTCAAGAATTCCATATGAAAGTTATTGCTAATTGGCAAAGTGCTACAAAAACTATTTTTGGCCAAGATGCTTCCCAATAATAGGAATAGACTTGGGAAAAATATATGTATTCTTTACTGATTCAGCCTGAATGCTACAGGGCTGTTCTGCTTGTGGCTTCATTAGGGAAGATTCTTAGTGAAAAAAAAGAGGGATGGATATCAATATGTTCATATATGTAGTTCTAACTATGTCTGATAGCTAGGTCTGGTATCAAGGCAGATTTATTGGTTGGGAATATTCTTTGTTTTTCTTGCACGTGGGTTTTAACTGTGCCAATGAACCTCCCCCCCCCCCCCCCCATAAGGGTGTGTTTCTCTCCCATCATTGGGAAAAAAATAGAGTAATTAATAGTATTTTTTGGAGAATGTGTGGTTGAAAAGTAAAGTAACTTTATTGGTTTGTGTGTAGAATATTTTATTGGATAAATGTGTGGTGGAGAATCTTACTGTAGCAAACAATGTTTTGAAATAATGGATGACAAACAGGGGCTTAATTTGTTCCCACACTCTTGGCTCCGCCCTCCTTAGTGCTCTCTATTGTCCACCCGATAGCATTGGTGCTTGCCAACAAGTTGTACCCTATTGCCTCCAATTCGTCCATAGCCTATGTATGTATTGTACTATCGTTGTCCCAATGACACCACTTATGAATAATGCTACGAGTACAGAAATTTTTTCACAGAAGACGTACCGATTTTCAAAAAATCTTATGTGGCGGTGCAAAGATTACAATATTTCCTGACACCAGCAGAGGCCCTCTTTTACGCACCCCCCCCCCCCCCCCCCCCCCCCCCCAACCCCTTCCTTCTTTCATTTTGCTCAATTATTACTTTGTACCTACTTGATGAGTATTAGCAAGACTGCCAGCTAAAAGAATATCCTTGAAATAGTAAACTTCTTGAACATTCAAACAACTTCTAGCAAGTTAATTATGGTGATGGATTTTTCTTGGTGTATTTTCCTGTAATTATTCCTAGTTTGTGAAGGTGTTTCGTTTATTGTGGCATATGATAAAACCGAGTTTCCTGAGTTGTTTTCAATATTAAAGGCATTTGGCAATCGTTATCAACATGAGCCTCATTTCTCTGTACTGTAGCCTATTTCTGAAGTTTGCTCTGATCTTGCTTCATTTTGTCCCAACATTCACTGATGACGTGCTTTTTCCTTTTATTTACTGGGAAGTTGAATTTTCTCTCTCTATTATGGACCCTTCTCTTATAGTTGATAGGTGTTTGGACATATAAACTCTCTCTTTCTGGTCTGGTTATGCACTGAAGTTAATGTATTATCATACGGCACAAGGCCATTCTTATTCTTGAAATCTTATGTAACAGATATTGCTTGATGATGTGAAAGTATCAGAACAACTGATTGACCTGGTTTTTTATTTGCTAATTGTCCTTGCTTCTGACAGACAGGTGCATTTTCCTACTTACCTTGAATAAGTTACGCTTTATTATTGTGGACGTTGACTGAAGTCTACATATTGTTTTTAGGAACATCAGGTTCCCAATGATATGATACTCTTGCACTCAGCCCTGGTTGCATGCAGTCTGAAATTGTTGACTGTGATAATTTCTCCACAATGGCAAGAGGTTGCTCAAGTTTTGACTGCGTATTACAAGGTAATTTTTAAAATAATTTTCAATTTATTGAAATATGGCTGGCTGAATAAGCAAATCTATTCATCTAGTATGTCCACAAACATATACTGAAGTGCATGTCTACTTGCACAATGACTTTTATTTGACATTTGGTTGCAGTAATTCATATTGCTAGACAACAATAATGTCACTCTTGATGTTTTCGGCTGTATGTTACTTAAATTGTTACTTGTTGAAGACATAGCTGATGATGGACAGTTTGTGGCAGATTGACGTATTTATGGAAGCAGCATTTACTGCAGTTTGTAAAGATATTAAGTTTCTCCAGACCAAGTTGTCTGCTGAAAGTGCTGAGTCCTCTGGAAACATTTCTCCTACCAATGAAGAAACATTGAATCATCTTTGCCAACAGTGTGAATCTTCTCTGAAGTTTTTACACTCTTTGTGTCAACAGAAGTTGCTCCGGGAGCGCATTGTTAAGAATAAGGTTTTCAGTTAGAATACTTGTTTTTCCATTTTTTTCATGGATTAAATTGTTTGAAATTGTGATATTTGCTTTAGGAGTGTGAATGTGGTGAAATATACTATGCCTGGATAAAGTTACAACAGAATTAGTCTACTTCCACACGTTCTAGTTCACCATGTAGGACCTGGGGCCTGTATTTGGCTCATAAGCAGGAAGAAATCACTCTACAATAAGGCGTGAAATGGGAAGATTAATTCGAAAAATTAAAGAAGTTTAATTGACTTCTTTAGTGGCAGCTGATCTGCTATGTTTGTGGTTGTCAAGTATTATGGCTCCTGAAGAATGTATGACCATCGATGTGCTACCATGAATTATTTATTATTACTTCACAATGGAAGTATCATACTTTGGACAAGGAAGACATAACCTATGTTTTCTTAAACATTAAACTTAAACATTACATGGAATGAAATTAGATGCTCATTTGCATAATTACTTCATGCATATGAAATTATGAATATTTGGTCTTTCATTCTGATGATTCTTTTTATTTACTTCAGGAGTTGTGTGGCAAAGGAGGTATCCTGTTGCTGGCTCAAGCTGTCATGAACTTAAAGATATCACCATTCTATAGTGAAGCCTCCCCTTATATGGCTACTGTCTCTGGCCTGAAGTCTAAAGCTATATCTATTGTAAGTCCAAGTGATGGATATGGCCTTGCATAATTTCTTGACCGCTGCTCTAGTTTTTGAGAATCTTGTACTCCTTTCACCGTGTGATATCTTTTGGTGTGCACTTCATTCATTAAATAACCGCTGTTCCCCTCTCTGCAGCTGTTGCACCTTTGTGAAGCAGAAAGTGTTTCCTACCTGGATGAGGTTGCCAGCAATCCTGGAAGTCAGGACATGGCAAAGTCTATTGCACTACAGGTTGGTTTAAAGAATAATAGCTGTATATGATTTCATTTTGTAAATGTAGACTTTGCGAGGGAATGTAAGTATACCAATGCTTGAGAAAAGGGGAGCATTTTACTGAAACCTTTTAGCTTGTTTGATGTGCAAGACATTGAAAATACGTAGATAGGAGTTTGAAAATGACGTTCCATCTTCCCAAATGATTTGTGAAAGTATTTGAGGAACCTAGTGGTTTCTTTTCATCCAAATGTGGAATGAAATTTTTGGATCTTTTTTATACATTCTGGTTTAAATTTTAATACATTTAAGCCCCTGTTTGAGCCACATTAAAATTTTCATTTTCATTCTTCCACTCATTTTTCAACCTCACATTCTTCAATAAAATAATATTTTCCATCACATCAATAACTTTTTCAACCACACATTCTCTATTAATCTACTATTCCAAAATACATTCTTCTAAAATAACGTGGCTCAAACACCCTAAATGAATAAGAGAAAAATATACACCAAGTGTATTGAATGTTTTATTCTACAATTTTTGTAGATTTACGTATGATGGATGTTCTATCCCTTACTTTTCAGTGAACAGAATGATTTTATTAGCAAGAAACTAACGAAAGTAGACTCTTTTCTGGCATCCAGTGTTTAAGAACTCAATTATTTAAATTGATTAATATTTTGATCCCATAAGGTAAGAGAAACTACTAGCATGAAGTTGTCATCAGCATTCATTTGTACCTAGATGGAACTGCATACATCTAACTTTCGTCTTTTAAGGGTCTTGAGCATTGTTAGCCCATGCATGTTGTTTAAGGTATCATAGGCTATGCTCTAATTTATTCTTCTATGTTGTGTGGGCCAAGGGTTTTATGTATCTTATAAAACATCTATTTAGGATGAAGAAGCTTATCATTAACTTGCAAGACTGCTTATGTATTGATACTTAAGCTGTTGAGTTAGCAGATTGTCTTTTTTGCTTCTGTGAGGGATAAGCATGCGGATACTTTCTGTGTATCAAGTCAAGAGGACAAGGCTCCTAACGCTGGGAGGAAAGGGGAGGGTAAGCAGGTATCTATCAAAAAAAAAAAAAGGAAGTTGTGGGCCTCTTTGCCCCTTTCCATCTTAGAAGCAAAAAATTTCTCCACCTTTTAGTAGCTTGCATTGTCTTCCACACTGCTTTTTTAAGCTAGTTGTTAGGCTAAGTTCACCGGCCAAGGTCTCCACCTGGTGTAGCGCTGGATGGAATCTATCCTATTCACTTGGGACATTTTTTCTTGATCACGTGATTTTTGTTTCCCACTCTGAGGATCCTCAAAATGGTGTATATTCTTCTCTTCTTATTTCTAAAATCATTCCTTATCTTATTTCCAAGAATTTTTAGACGTGCTTTAAAGAGTATGATCTACCCATCTAATGAGAGCATTGTTGTGGTAAACATAACTGGAGGCATAGCTGATGGTGATGGTGTTCAGTGTAGATAATGCATCGCAACATGCCCATATATATATTTTTTTACCCAGTGTACCTCAATATGCATAATACTAATTTGATTATCGTTTGTGGTTCACTCTTTATTTTGCAGCTACCTTCTGAGTCGAGTATTTATTTTTTACAAGCCCTGCTTTACTACTGTAATCGACTGGTATTTGAATGATTGTTTTGGTTAGGTTCTTGAGCTATTGAAGAAAATGTTTGGTATACATTCCAAACAATTAACTGTTTCAAGTGAGAAAACCTATCCAAAAGGTCAATTGGAACTGAATGCGATGCGCCTGACAGACATCTTCTCTGATGATTCAAATTTTCGGTCTTTCATAATGATTAACTTTGTAAGCTTTCAGCCAATATTTATAGCTTAATATGAATTTGTACATGTACTTGCTTTATCTTTGTATTGTAATACTTATAGGAATGGTAGTTTTATTTATGGTCTTTCGTGACTGTTGGGTTGATTATCCAAAAGAAGTTACTTTCCATCTCAAACAGTTGCCACCACTAATTTGATGTGTATTGTTTTATCTACTGGAATAGATCTTTTGATGATGTTATTTGTGACTGTTCTTGTGATGTTTCCTTCAGACTGAAGCTTTGGCATCAATCTTTTTACTCTCGCATGGAGAGTTTTTGTCTGGTTGGTGTTCATCTGATCTTCCCGTTTATGAAGATGATACAACTCTGGAGTACGATTCATTTGTACCTGCTGGATGGGTTTTGGAATTGCTTTCTTTGTCAAATTCTTTACACACAGAAAATTCAAACCAACTTTTGTCCTTGCAGAATACCTCGAGCATCCTTTGCACACCAGAGAACATCGTTATTGATTAAAGTAATAGCAAACCTTCATTGCTATGTTCCTAATGTGTGTCAAGGTAGATTCTTTAGTTTTTCGCTTATTTGATATCCTAGGTCTTTTTAATTATTCTTATTATCTGACTCTCTCTCTCAATCCCAGATGAGAAGGATCTCTTTCTCCACAAATTTGTTCGGTGCTTAAAGAAGGAACCTCAGAAAATATCAGATGCATCATCATCAATTCTTGATGCTGAAAAAGCAATGACTGTTACCAAGAATTTATGTAACTACCTTTAACTGATGCCTCCAGTTTATAAAATTGCATGTCTGTTTTTTCCAATGAATCATTTGCATGTAGGTTCACTTTTGAGTCATGCTGAGTCCTTGATTCCTGGATTTTTAAACGAGGATGATGTGCAGCTACTAAGGTGATTTAATCTATACCTTGCTGGCATGCTATTATCAGGCAACAATTTTACATTTTTCTTGATTTTTATGTTCAGTTCCCTGGAATTTTCTTTGTAGGTTGTTCATAAGTCAATTTGATTCTTTATTTGCTCCTGGTGCATCTGAAGATAATCACATTCAAGTAAAACCTTTGTTCCCTTGTATATGAATACGCTTCCAATTTTATTGTTTCAAGTTTAATTACTCTGTTCTCCTGTGGATGCATCTTCAGCCTTTCCTTATTAATAGTTGTGATGAAATTTCGTTTTGTGCCAACTCAATGTGATCAAACTATGCTGCCGGAGGAAACTTAGGAATGTAAATTTGAGAGATCTGTATCTTGGGACAAGAAATTCGATATCAGTCAAAGTGAATGCTAGGAATATAATTTATTCTAGTCTGAAAGAACGATGATTTCCGTGAGCTGTATATTTCTATCCAGAAACTCTTACTAAGAGCAGTATACCTAAGATAAAAAATAGAGTGTAAGGCGATAATCTCGCTTGTTTCGTTAGACATTATGTACCCACTTGATATTATGGGTATGTTAATGCACGATTCTTAGTATAGTTGGTTTAATACCGCAACTAGTAATCCTATAGAGGGGCTGCCTAACTTCATGTCTTTTCTTTCTTGTATAAGTTGATAATACACTTCCTGTGTATTCTTCTTTGATTAATAAAATTATTGGATTATCTATCAAAAAAAAAATGCACAATTCTTTAGCAATCTGTATTGTGAGATCAATTAACTCGCAAAAATTTGATTTCTTGCAGTTTGAAGTTGTATGTTCTGTTCTATATAGCTGGTTGAAAATTGAATTTTATCCCTTCAGGAAGTTCAAAATACAGGGGTATACCCTTTGCCATTGCTGACAAAAATTGCTTCAGATCATGACAATAGAAACATTAAAGTCAAAGAGAACATATTGGAGAATGATGCTTTTCAAGAAATGGGTCGATTGGAGGTCAAAATTAATGGGAATGATGAATCAATTGATGTGGAAAGAAAATCTGGGAGGACTGAACATGGTAAACCCACTGGAGGTGCCACTGAAATTGAGAGGGATACTCAAAATTTTGAAACAAGTGGATCAGATTCAAGTTGCACACGAGGTAAGAACTCTGTGGATCGGATGGATGTTGATCACATCAAAGAGAGTGGTTTTGTAGAAAGCCAGGAGGATGAAAAGGTTGAAACCATGCATTCTGACGAGAAGCAGCAAAGGAAACGCAAGCGAACTGTCATGAATGATAAACAGATAGCACTTATCGAGAATGCACTTGTAGACGAACCTGACATGCATCGTAATTCAACTGCCTTACGATTCTGGGCTGATAAATTAACTCTTCATGTGCGTATGAATACACGTTTCTTATACTATATTATATTTTCTTGCGAAATATAAATCAGAGCCTTAATTTCTATTCTTTTATAAGATAAGAGTTCTTTTCGTTCCCTTTCTGCAGGGTGCTGAGGTTACGATTTCTAGGCTAAAAAATTGGTAAGAGAACTTCACTTTTCTTATTTATAATTTAAGTGCCAAAGACATCTACGTAAAATGGTTGCTAGCGAAATGCATGTTTAAGTGATTGATTCTCTTACCTCAGCATTTTGATATCCTGCTTAATTAACTTGCCACTAGTCAATATGCAGCATTTCTAACTCAAGAAGTTCGCCAAGGGTTATTTATTGGTGCTAAAATGAATGACATGTTTTTCTTGACAGAGATATTGATCTTCTTTAAGCTATTATCATGCTTGGGATGGCAATTTGCATTTTTGGTGCTGAGATATTTACCCAGAGACTGGAATTGTTAATCGAACTTCTTAAAACCAAAGTTATTCTTGTTTTTTATCATTAAATATTAAAACATTATAATAAACCCAAAAGCGCATTTGCTGGTAAGATTTAAAAACCTTGTTCTTGGTGTTTTTACAGGCTCAATAACCGAAAAGCCAAACTAGCCCGTGCTGCCAAAGATGGTCGAGTGACATCTGAAGGCGACAATCTTGACAGACAAGGCGGGCCTGGAGTCACTCTTCATTTTGACTCACCCCATTGTCGTCCTATGGAAGATGTCTACTTCCCATCTGCTACAAAAGGGAGTCGAGAAATTGAAATTACAGATACTGTGTCAAGATCCAGTATTAACAAAAACTTTAGTGCTTCAATTTCACCTATAGATCTTACTCAATCAGATTTTGTTCACTTTGAGTCGGGGCAGTATGTAATGCTTGTAGGCGAGAAAGCAGAAGAGGTTGGAAAGGGCAAGGTATTTCAGGTCCAAGGCAAATGGTATGGGAAAAACTTGGAGGGATCGGGTACGTGTGTAGTGGACATCATTGAGCTTATAGTTGATAGATTTTCCAAGGTTCTGCATCCATTGGAAGTCACAGGGACCACTTTTGATCAGACGGAGAAAATTCTTGGTTCCATACGCGTGTTATGGGATACAAACAAGCTCTTTCCATTGCCCTTGCCACCTCGGTGAATTAGAGAGCACCTCAATTATAGAAAGATCTGGTTAGTGTGGTGATTGAACTTCTATTTAGAATTATGGGTTCAAAAATGTCAAATAGGTTTCTTGAATTCTGAATTTCTTGCCTATTTTTGGGCAGATTGAAGCTGCTGCCACAGGGACGAGGTGGTTTGACGCCATGTAGTAAATTATGACGTGCTCTCTCAGGAGGTGTATGACAAATGTGGTTATACTTTCTGCATCATTCAGTGCTGCAAAAATTGCCTGACAAACTAATTTCATGGTGGAATGGTCAATATCGTGGCTTCAATGCCGCGCTACAACAGAGGTTGAAGAGCTCATCTAGTAACGAGGCAGATAAGAATCAGAGAAGAAAATTTATGATGTGTAAAAGATGTATTCTTTTTCCATACTCGTCGATGTCAATAGATTGGAAGATTTGCTCGACATGGGGGAGATTTTCTTCGTTTTGATGAGCTTTCTCTTCATGCTTGGTAGACAGTATCGGATGGTAACTTGGAATGAAATTTAAGCTCATGCAGCGGCTAGAATTAACCATAATTTCATTGGATCCTGACATCCAGTAATTGATCCTTTTTACCCATATATTGTTAATTTGATTGGAATAGGTCACAAATAGAAAACTAATTAACATAAATTCTCATCACGTAGATAGATCGTAAGAGTTGAAGTTCAAAACAGCTGACAATTTTTTTCAAAATTAATAGCAAGAAAAATACAAATTTATGGAGAAAAAATAAATTTGAACCAGCAGCTACGCATACATCTGTATCAGTTACCCATTTATACGGGGCTTACTTTGTACAAAACGGAGAGATGTTACTTACTATTTAGACCAACTGCTAAGTTACCTACCACTCAATACGAAAATATGCGACTAAAAAGGGAACTTTTGAACTATCTTTCAAATACGACATTGTTATTAGACGGCAAATGCCGATGCACAATACTCACCTGTACTTGTCAAATCGTGGCTCTTAAGGATTTTAGGCCCCCACACGATATTGTGATATTAAAAGATTGACGAGTGACTTCATGAATACGCAATGAACTCATACATAACAATTAACATCGTGATATTAAGAGATCGACAAGCGAGTTCATATATAGGCAAGTGAACTTCGGTCAAAGTCAGGTTGTGGGCGACCTCTTGTAGGAGTAGGCGGTCTTTGGATGTTAAGCTCCTGAAGTAACCAAATCAAACATTAATAGTTTGTAAGCATCTAGCCAACTAGGTTTCACTACTAAAGAATTGGATTGAAAGGTAAACACAAGAAAGCTTTACAAACACGAAAAATCAACAAGAGGATCACCTGCATCCAAGTCTCCTCAGTCACACGTTCAGGAGATGTCTCGGGGGACTGGAGAGGCGGCGGCAAGGGATGAATTAATTTTGGAACAATGACCAATCCTCTGCCAACTACCAATATTGCACCAGCATTATTTGCAGTCCCTGGATGCAATTTTTAATCAGAATGCAAATCCAGTTCTACAAGAAAGTGAGCGTGAAGATTTCTCAACATTTACCACAATAATTGGTTGCCGAAAAAAGAGTGATCAGCTGTCCCTGGGCAAACCGTTCAAATCCATCCATAACACATTCATGCGCTCTTATGATGAGTTGCAATTTGTTCTTCTTACAGAAATCTATGACCCGATCAGGCTGCAATAATAATAGATTAAACAGAAATTAAAGGTTAATATACACAGGTAAAGTTCTCTGCGACAAGCTTAAAAAATGGATCTAAAGTCAACCAGATTTCTCTGTGACAATTCATAAAATGCATACCCCAAAAGTTACAAGACCAGGTCCTCTAGCATTTGGTCTCAAACCTTCTACACTATCATTTTCGGTGGGATCAGACCTGCACAAAAACACAGAAGGTAACGCCTCGGATGTAAACAAAAACATAGAATATAATGCAAAGCATACCATAACAAATCCATTAGTACTATTGATCCAGCATCCATCGTTATGGGCCTCTCTAGTTTCTCTATCTGTTCTACTGAATTTATTGACCTCCCAATGCCACCATGCATGCATATGATTTTCTTCTCAATCAGTGCAGCAAGAGGAAGATGGTTAAATAATTGATTGAAACGTGTCCAGGCCCAGATCCCATCACTCTCTCCCTACACAGTACATCAATCATCATTCACCAAAATAAGTCCATAAAGGAAATAATTTGCACATATTCATACCATTCTCTCTATACATTCAATGCGAAAGCCGAAAAGGGCATTGATATCGGCAGCTTCATGATTCCCGCGTATTAAGTGAACATTCTCAGGGTACTGAATCTGAGGTCAATTAAGGAAATTAAAGATAATAAAATAACACAATTTCAAAAAACAAGCAATAAATTAGTCAAGCCAGCCACTCGCCTTTAGAGCCAGGAGTAGAGTGATGGTCTCCAAGCTGTGCTGTCCTCGATCAACATAGTCACCCAGAAACAGATAGTCAATATAACTGCAATTGCAGAAAAAAGGTCCGTTGAATGATTCGACAAGAAAATTTAAAAATTGTCATTCATACAGGTAGCACATCGGTTGCTAAAAATAATGAGCAAATTTATACTTGGATAACTGTAAAAAGGAGGAAACTATATTACTTCAACTTTGAAGACACTTCAAAAGGCCCTTTTGTCAATAACCGAGAACCCCTAAGCATCAATTATTTCACCTCGGATTTTTATACTCATAAACCTTGCACGTGCTTCTAAAGCCTTAAACATGTGTTAATCTCAAGCCATATGGAGACTTCTCTATTCATAATCTATCACTACAAACTTACGTTATATCGCCTGCAGTGGAAGGAAACCCATATTCATCAAACAGCCGCATGAGATCACCAAACTGTCCATGTAGATCACCAAACACTTTGACAGGAGCTTTCAGTTGAAGAACAGTTGACTCATGCATAAAGATCTGCTCAGCAGCATAACAAAGCTCACCAACTTCATAGGAGTCCAGAAAGAATTTTCTGTTCGAAGGTGGTTTCCAATTTCGAGGCCTAAGCAAAGTGGATATTATCTGCAGCATTACATGGCAAATGAGAACTAGGATCAATTCTTTGTTATACGTATATTTCTTATTTTATTCCTTTTTTTTTTTAAATTGAGTAGGTGGAAAGAGAATAAGTGAAACTTTGTAAAACTTGCCTTTTTATGCAAGCCTTGAGGAGACTTCTGCCTGGTAAATTTTTTGGTTGGATGTGACAAATCATTGTGAAATGGAATCATTCGTCTACTTTCATTTTCAAATTGATCCAATGATAACTGCCTAACCATACCCCCCAAGTTCCCCACAGCTTCTTTTGCAACTACAACCTGTAGCATAGATGGTAGTAAGCTTGCATGGCTCAAGGCACAAGTTATCGAATACATAAATCACAACATAGTGAACAAACATACCGCTCTTGGGTGAAGGCGCACATCAGCTTCAGTGTCGCTACCCTCCGAAGTTGTCTCTGCAGCTTGTGAAGTGTCATCTGATAGAGATGTTTCTTCAGGAGTGGCTGATGCTGCCTGAGCAGCTTGCCAGACAGCATTAGCAGCCTCAGCTTCAGCAGCAGATGCCTCAGCCAGTTTCTCCATCGAATTCTTGTCCATGCTGTATGAAGAAAGAACACTTCTTTACAGTTATTGCTTAACTTCCTTAAAACCACACAATGAATTTAAACAGCAGGCCATGGAATCAAACCTCAAACCACCAAACGAGGGTATTTCAGATCTTCCATTGCGAGTCGTTGTGGGAGAATACGAAGTTAAACTTGCATTTGATGTCGGATTTGTAGTTGTCAAAGCCTGGTCAGACGGTGATACTAGAGAATTGGCATCAGATTGAAATGGAGAATTTTCTGCAACCAGGAGATCGTCAAACAAAGTATCTGCAACCCAAAAAAAAAAGTTAAAAAATTTAAAAAGTTACGAGGAAAATATGCATAGAAAGTAGGAAATAATAGATGTAAAAAATATATTATGAACTTAGTAAACCAATTACACATTAACCATATCATACAACCATCTTTTTAATCAATTATGATCATATTGCAGCCATGTCGACCAATGAAAGATGTTATTTTCAGCAGTAAGTTAATGGACACTTCTTTCCTTTGCACGAATACATTCCTTATAAATTAAAATGAAATCTTTTATTTCTATAAGCTTGAATGCGTCAGATTGGTGAGTAAATGCATGGTGTAGTAGAAAGATTACACGAAGCTGTAACAGTAACTTTGCTCACAAAAACAGATGGTATCAAACAATACTTGCTGCATCATGATCACGCACATCTAGATTCAGATGGTGTGTCCCGATGAAGTTAGAGGGGGTCAAAAGATGAAAGGATGCCTCGGCTAATTGAAATCTTTACCTCCTTTCAGACCACCATAAACATATATCCGGACACCAACAGAAGCAGCTGCATGGCGACATCGACGCATAAGCTCCAAAGAAGGATCATGCTCAGCATGTCCTTTGTTGCCACGTGAAGTCACCAGCCCATTTCTGTCTAGCCAAACCCCAGCGGCAGTATCCAGTACTTCAAACAGAAATAACGATCAGAAATTGCTTTAGATACTTTCCATATGAATATATAGAATAACAATTCCAAATAACAAACAGGAAAGAAGTCTGAAAAGTTACCTGTAATCGCAGCTTCACCTTCTACACCTCGTCCACCCCTAAGAGCTCCCCCAGTAACGTGTAATCTAGCACCAACGAAAACCTGAAAAAATGAAAATGTTGAATTATTGAAGAATAAGGTGCAAAGCGAGAGGAGAGTATGCCATCAAATGTAATCTTTTTAAAAACTTTACCCTTTATGAGGGAAAAAAGGATAAACAAGACCAAAATTTTCACATGGTTCTCGAATGGTGAGAGCCACTTTTAGCGGACAGTGAAGTTGAGCTGAAAAGAATTAAAAAACAAAAAGGTATGAATCCAGAAAGCCATCCTTCCTCTACAGCAAGTGTAGAGGAAAAGAGCTTACTTCTCACAAGTCAGAACAGAATTCCAATTGAGATCAAATTAGATACACTTATAATCATAAGAATAAATAAGAGAATTGAGATTGCAGAGTGGGGGCAGCACCAGCAATTAATCATTTAATAGAACACTTACCGCGGCATGTTGATACCTTGGGAAAGGGGACACGCCTGGT